ATGATGATGATGATGATGATGATGATGATGATGATGATGATGATGATACTCCTTGTGACTCAGAGGATACGACACCCCCAGTTCATTGTTTGAAGAGGAAAAAGGGAGGGTGTGTGCAAGACTGAACAGCTGTCTCACATATCATATCTTAGTTTACCAAATTTGCCATGTGGCCTGAGTGTGGGTCCCCATGTTCTTGCTCATGATATGGTCAACCTCAAGACCCTCAGATGCCAGGCCCATGCAGTTCTCCATGCCATGCAAATAGGTTCAGGTTGATTCCAGAGACCTACGACATGATCGAAGCTACGGTTGTATGGTCATCATCATGGATCCTCAGTTGTCCGCAAACACGGTCATCCTGTGTAACCCTGTCATCCCCTGTCAATCCAGTATCCTCAAAGAGTATAGGGACGGTCCAAGGGACCCTGAAAAGCCACTTCTCGGCTTTGGATTGTCCCATAGCCTACCCTTTTTAAAATGAGGATGAGCAACCATAATGAAATTTGGCAGCTGGGTGCATTCCATCCAGAGTCAACCTCACCCACCTCAATCAGCACCAGGTGGCATAAACGCCCCACCATTCTTCATTCGCGAAGCCGTCGGGCAAGCCGCCAAAATAACCGCCACAGACATCGTGGTCACTCACGGCGCCACACTTCCACCACTCGTCCTACCAACGAAGCACCTAAACGCCCCGACGAAACGCCTCCATTCACGACAGGTGTTTTGGAGGGGGTCCGCACCATCGCCCCCCCAATTGTTGGAGCCCATGGCCACCGCGGCAGCTTCTTACAGGTTCTGTTATCACAGCCCCAAGAAGGTTTCACAAAGCTTCACCACTGGTGGCCCGATGTGAGCTGAGCCTCTTGAGGCTCTGCAAATACTCCACGCAACTGGCAGGTTGACCTATTTTAGGGGTCAATGTAGGCAACGGGAGCATTCTAGTACTGGTTGGTGGTTTCAACTCACGGAAGAACAACTATATATTGGTTAGTGAGTTCAATCATTTTGAAGTGAAGGTTGACAATGACACGACATCTGTAAATATAACAAAAATAACACGATGCCAGTCAAACGATAAGTAAAAAGGAACATGGCACATGGAGTGTTTGGAATTGTGCCAATTGAACCAATGTCCCACAAGGACGACGCGCCAGCAGGTCCCAACCACGAGGGCGAGGGCGTCCTGGAAGGCGAACACGATGCCTGTGAGGTGCATCGAAGCTCCAAACAACATCTGTGCACCGTCCTTGCTCCTAGTAGCTTCTTGCTCCCTAGTAGCTATTTGCTACTAAGAAGCTTCAAAGACCTACTATATAGTAGCTTCTTGCTCCTAGTATATATAGTAAGGCCAGGAGCGCCCCTAGTAGCGTCCTTTGGGTCTGTTCATAGCGATGCCCTTTGTTACGTTCGTAGCTTCTTGGCGATTCCCTGCAGGGAACTGTGGCAACTGCCGTCCAATCACTGACGTCCAAGACTTCCAATCTCCGCTCTGTCCCGAGAAATCGACTGCCACGACTCCACTCGACTGGGCATCCAGCACATCCAACACCTCAGAGTTTCCTCCCCCAGCACACCTCCCCCGGTCTCCCCCATATCGACACCCAATCCGCAACAAAAGCCCGTTGGATTCGCCTCCGGCCACCACGGCGCGCCAGTCGCGCAGCTCCGTGGACAAGGACACCAAGGCATTGCCCCTGAGCGCGCGCGAGCGATCGGACAACGCACGACGTACGCCGTGGTGGAAGAAGGACATGGAATTGACTAGTAAATTCATCTGTAATATATAATATATACCAGGACCCCACAAGGGTTGTCAAATTTTAGCTGCTTAGAGGTGATTCGGGGTGTCCATTAGCCACCCCGAGCGCGTGGGTCCTGGTAGAGAGAGAGATTTGTTTGAGGATGGGTAGGTTGGTGGGTTGGACGTTGTTGGACTAATATGAGGATGGGGTGTGTTATGTGTGTTGGTCTAAGGGGTGGACTTTTGTTGAGGGCACAGTGTGAGAGTGGGAGTATACAGGATTTACCTACAGTATATATCCTTCCAAAACACGGGCTAAAGTTTTAAGGTGACAGGCACAGCCAAGGAGTCCTGCCCATTGTATGGTGAAGGAAACATTGACAAAATCCCGCATTTCATCCTGGGGCTTGGATACCAAATGTAGGAGATATGGGGAAAATGGGTAATAACGAAAGAAGTTTTCCTTGTTTGTGAAAACTTTCCAATCCCCTCTAGGCAAATCTAGTTCACGGATGCAATGTTTTGGGTGTTCAGCTTGACCAAAACTCACAATCATGATTGAACCGAACGCTTTTTGCTTTTTGGATCAGACTGGGGAACCCTGACCCAACACCTGACTCCTTCTTATTTTAAGGAACCGGGAACAAAGGAATCTATAGTCATATCGGATCAATCAATCATATATACATGAATCCAACTTGCAGCGCCCTGAGATGCAGTGCCCCTGGTGGCAAACTGATTTAGCAAAAATCCACAACAATCGAACGTTCGGTCAATTTGCTCGGACTTTTGACCCATCTAGTCGACTCCGTCACCTGGGAAATGCTTTCTCCGAGCGTCTGTTCGTCTGTGGCCCATTCCTGGCCATTGGTTTGATCGTAGGCGTCAGCTCCAAACTCGGTGATCATCAGCGGCAAAGTGCTGGGATAGGTGCTGAAAAGCTCCGTGCCAAAGCTACTTCCTGCCGGAGCACAAAACGTAGCAAGTGCTGTAGCCGCAGAATGAGAGTGCAACATGCTGAACATCCATGACTCGAGAATATTCTAGACAAAGTCCAGTGGTTAGTATCTACAAACTGTGTAACCTCTTGTTGTATAGGGCCATTTACTAGCTTTGTTAGGGTGGATATGTAGTTGTATTAAATATAATATTTAAATATAGTTCTATATATCTATATTTAAATATATGTATATACGTATATGTTTCATGTTTCATATCGGATATTAAACAAAGAAACAATGATGGGTTTAGAACCGCAATACTAACCGCCCTTAAAAAAATACCTACATTTGTTTCTTTCTGACTAGGACCTTCGAAGTGACCTGGACCTTGTAATCCCTATAGTTGTGACCTGCAACCAGAGGATACTTTCTATTACCCAAACGCTCCGTTCACAGCCCGACAAGTCCCTCAAAACGCGAGGGATTGGGTCTCCGGATTCGGGTCCGTCGCGTCTGGGGAAGGCGTGAGGAAGGCGTGAGGATGGCCCGTCGCCTCGGTACAAGTTCAAGCACCACAGATCCACCGCATTGGGATAGCTGGCTTCGAGCGCAAAGTAGTCAGAGAGGTAGTTGTCCTAGAGTCCAGCTCCACTCGGGCAGGGGGGTGCAAGTGAAATTGTTCCCTAGTCAAGCAGAAATCCATCTGAAAAAACTTTCAAGATTCTACATGGGGCTGTGGTTCATAAAGTAAAACCCTTCCAAAAACCTGCAGGTGTTGGTCAATTCTGCGAATTCATCCTCTGCAAGGAGGTTTTGGGTGGCATCGTTTTTTAAGCCTCACCCATGTGGAGGAATTGTAGGGAATCTGGCCAAAAGATGCCAAAAGCAGGTTCAAAGACAAGGTACTCGCAGGGACAACTGTTGAGGGCAAAACACAAGATTTGACAGCACTAGGTGGAGTCGAAGGGACATGTGGAAAGCTGCCTGCAAAAAATGGGGCTGGGGGCTGGGGGGTCCAAATCAAACAGACATGAAATGATGTTGAACTCATGCTTTTAAAAGGGATAGACACACAATGATACGCTGTTCAACCTGTGAAAGGATCAATGTAGTTGGTGTAACTTGAGGGGAGCTGGCCCCTTCCTTTGGAGTCTACAAGTCTTAGGTACTTAAACTAAAACAACCCGCACAAGATTTCAAACAACTGTAACTGCCTGCTCATAGCACAAACGCACCAACTACCCGGCTGTATCCGCCTCTCATCCCCTTCCGCCGGTCCATCAAAGGTGAGCAAACCGGATGCCACACGCCAGCAGCTTGCTCTGCCTGCCGTTTGGCCGAATGTGACTGACTGACTGACTGCCTGGCTGGCTTGCTGGCTGACTGGCTGGCTGACTGACTGACTGCCTGACTGACTACTGACTGACTGACTGTCTGACTGACTGACTGTCTGACTGACTTACTGACTGATTGAGAATTGTTTTGATCGGATGCTATCCATTACGGCTCATCAATTAATATCCAATAACCACGCCATTTCCAACACATCGCTACGGGGCTGGAGGCCATTGCGATTAGGTTGGAGGCCATCGCTATTAGGTTGGAGGCCAGTGCTATTATATAGGTTGGTGGCCATCGCTATTAGGTTGGAGGCCATTGCTATTAGGTTGTAGGCCAAGGCTATTAGGTTGGAGGCCATTGTTATTAGGTTGGAGCCCATGGCTATTAGGTTGGAGGCCGTCGCAATTAGGTTGGAGGCCATTGCTATAAGGTCGGAGGCCATTGCCATTAGGTTGGAGGCCAGTGCTAATAGGTTGGAGGCCATTGCTATTTAGGTTGGAGGCCATGGCTATTAGGTTGGAGGTTACTATTGTGTTTGAGGCCATGGCTAGTAGGTTGGAGGCAATCGCTATTAGGTTGGAGGCCATTGCTATTAGGTTGGAGGCCATGGC